AGTAACAAACGCTAGTAGTAACAAGTGCATCGCTTCTAGTAACAAGTAGCGATGGCCCTCCAAGTCCCGGGCCGAATGATATGACGTCCTTTTCTCCTTCTCCTGCGTCACCGCTCTCTCGCAACGCGGCACTCGCTGGGCACCAGGAGCCCTGTAACTTCTTTTGACCGGAAATCTGAAATACGTTGGAAAGAGGGAGTCACATTGTATTCCGTGAAATTGCTACACCCGCTCCACCTGTCTTAGAGACTCTTACAGACTCACACAACATCTGAGTTTGGCACTTCTGCGCACTCCTTGGCAACTTCAGGACACAAAGATCCAAGACGATAGTTGATTGATATTTTTGATGGATGTTGATAGTGGCTTAAGAAAAAACCTGGGGCCCGGGCACGTCCCAGTTCATTCAGCTTCTTCTGGAAGCGGGCTGCCTAGTCAAGCGCCACAGAGATTTCAATTGGGAGTCAACCTCCCATGGAACAGGAGAATACAAACATGCACTCTGTTGTAAGAGCCACTAACTCACTGATCTGTAGGTTAGCCTGTTTTTGTTAAGCATGACTCAGACGCAAGCGGAAAAGGCTGCAAGCAGCTCTGTCCTTGGTGACGGCATTGAAACTTGAAGTTGAAACTCAAGAATCTCAACTCCCTTAGTTGCGGACTGCAGCGCCAGTGCCTTATGGCAGTCAGGTGCGCTGCGGATACGCTGTATACACAGAATCTGACCCTCGCTCCACTGACCAAACTGCGAAAAGTCAACGTCTCTTACGAGAATGCTCGAAAAGGCCTCCATCCTAGAGGCCATTGCCTCCATCCTAAAAGCCATTGCCTCCAACCTAATAGCGATGGCCTCCAACCTAATAGCGGTTTCGGTCGCAGGTCTGAATTCTGCGAAACCTGTGGGCGCCCCAACTCGTGCCTTGCTGAGCGCCTAGCACGGCTCAGAATGCGAAGGGGGTGAATGGACAAAGAACGATCTGATCGCTCAATTCCAACGGCTTGCTCAACGACACACTACACCAAACAAAACCGAGTGCATCGCCTGTGAGCTTCTCTTCCCTTGGAATAGCCCGCTTGTGCAACTTGAGTCATTTGTCTCTGCAACGGAATCTCGTTCACTGACTGTTTGACCATTGATTGTTTGCAATGTTTCTGCACTTTGTGTTTCTCCGCACTGAGATGTCCACTTTGCGTGGGCACCTGGCTGTGAACATTCAGTAGTCTAGCGAGGGTCACCAGTGAGTCTAGCGCCTCTAAGCCCAAAGCAGCAAGATCCGACCTCAAAGAGACACATCTGGCGTGCTTGTAGGAACAAGTGCATCGCTTCTAGTAACAAGTGCCTTACTAGTAGTAACAAGAAGCTATTAGCTTATTGTTTCTAAATAGCAAACATTGTTACTACTAGTAAGGCACCTGTTACTACTAGCGTGGCACTTGTTACTAGTAGAAACAAGAAGCGATTGACATGTCCGTGCAAGGTCAGGAAAGGTCAACCGTCTGGAAGCGGCCGGTCAAGCGTTCTTTCTTTGCTAAAGCATCTGCACGCGGGCATCGAAGTCACCTGCTTGCAAGGCTTTCCTGGGCGGATTGCAATGGTCAAGGCATTAGCCAAGGCATGCAATGGTCCCGCAGCAAATTGGTAGCGACTAGAAAACTGTCAACAAGGCTAGCTAGCTGCCAAAAAGGCTCTTGCACATGCATCGAGAACCGCAGGGTTCTTCAGACTCTGGACTATTGCAAACGACTTTCTTCTGCTATTTGTCTTTCTCGTTGCCTCTTCCCTCTCCTATTAAGCAATGGCCTCCAACCTAATAGCGATGGCCTAAGAGCGATGGCCTCCAACCTAATAGCGATGCTACTAGATTTTGCCTCTCTATAGTTAGTGAAAAAAAAGCTTCAGTTTCGTTTTTTCGTGCCACACGCCGTTTTGGTCCCAGAAGCTTCAACTGGTTGCGTTGGATTTTGCCACTGGTGGTCTTGGGAAACTCCTCCTCTTCCAGCGGCACAACAATACCTTAAGGAAGGCGGTTCCGTTCTCGAACAGCTTGTGTTGAGTATGATTCCATTCAACGTCATAAAAGGCCTCTTGCTGCAGATTATGTCAAAATGTTGGGTGTAAGAATCCTGAGAGATTGGCTGGGTGCAAGACCCATGTGCCTCACCAGCTTTGAGCGGATCTCCCGTGCCACCTCGATGAAAGGGAGGTGGCACACTGTCATGCTGTGACAACATGCCAACGAACATCGCACATGGAAGCCATCGCTAGTAGGTTGGAGGCCATTGCTAGTAGGCTGGAGGCCATCGATACTAGGTT